CCACTCTCCTGTGCCTCCTTGTATTGCGCTGAGCTTTCACTTGAATTTGTCGTAGTCTCCATTTTGGGTCCTGTGTGTACAGCATGTGTGTCTTTGCGTGTGTGTGTTTTCTTAATGCTGTTCAGTGTTCTTACTTTGTTAAGCTGCCCAGTGGCAGGCTAGAAAAACTGCCAAGTAAATTAATGAAATTTGAGCTGAAGGGCGATCAGGTTTTGGAAAAGATCCAGCACTAGCTCGCTCTCCTGTTAGCCTCATGTGCATTTTTGAGTGATGGGCAGAAATGCCATAAACCTAATTTCAGGGCTGCCCACTCACAAAACCAGCAGACAAACGTGATTAAAAGTTAAAAACAACATCAGCCGAGTGGTCATTTTGTTGTGGGTGACTAAGAGGCCAGAGAATGGGCAGAGAACCTGGCTTTTATTTATTTCTCTCATTTAATGGTCCTGTGCCTGGCTTTTCTTACACAGCCAACCAAAGGAGCCAGCAATAAACAGATTAGAGCAATCAATCATAAAGCAATAAAATCGGCAAAAAACAAAGAGACAAAGCAAAGGAGGGGAGTTAAAAGGCGGGAGGCGGGATGTAGTCAGTTGGGGGGTGGAGGGAAACCAGCAAAATGCCAGAAGCAGAAAAACAAGATCCCACTGAACAAGGAGAGATTTAACCTGGAAATAAGGAGAAACTTTTCTGACAGTGAGAACAATCAACCAATGGAACAGAAGTTGCCCTCGGAAGTTGTGGGGGCGCCATCCCTTGAGACCTTCAAGAAGAGATTGGACTGCCATTTGTCAGAAATGGTGTAGGACCGTGATGGCGAACCTATGGCATGTGTGCCACAGGCGACACACAGAGCCGTTTGTGCAGGCACGCAAGCCCCAGCCAAACTTACCTGCCCTGCGTACGCGCGCACCTCCCAGCTGATTTTTCGGCCCGTTTGAGGCCGTTTTTGCCCTCCCGGAGGCTTGAGGGGAGCCTCTGCAGCCTTGGGAGGCCGAAAAACGAGCCTTCTGGAAATACTGCAAGTGCCCGTTTTCAGCCTCCGGAGGGCCTCTGGAGCCCAGGGGAGGCCATTTTCTCCCTCCTGGAGGCTCAAGGGAAACCTCCCAAGGCTGCAGAGGCTTCCCTTAAGCCTCTGGGAGGGCAAAAACGGCCTCAAACGGGCTGAAAATCAGCTGTGAGGCTTACACATGTGCAGTGCAGGTAAGGGAGCAGGGCGGGGGTGTTGCGTGCGCATGTGCAGGGGGGAGCAAGGTGCATTGTAGGTGTTGAGACGCGCACACGCACTATCACGCACACTTTCGGCACACCACAACAAAAAGGTTCACCATCACTGGTGTATAGGGTCTCCCGCTTGGGCGGGGGAGGGGTTGGACTAGATGACTTACAAGGTCCCTTCCAACTCTGTTCATCTAACTAATCAATAGCTCAGAAGATGGGTGGATGGCCTTCCCCAATTGATTCTCACCCCAGAAATGGGAGATTTATGTGTCCCATCCTCCGCATTTTGCAGGACATTGAGTCGAGTCCTCCACTTACAGCAGTTTTATTTAGTGACGGTTGACTTTGGCCTAGAAAAGATAAGTGGCTGCAGTTGCGCAGAAAGCTGGAAAGCGCGCCCCATCTTTCACAGTTTACACAACTTCGACCTCCAGCACCCTTCCCCTCACAAGATCCAACTATCCCTCCCTCCCCCATTTCCATGGCAGCCGCGGCAAGAGTCAAGCAGTAAAAGATGTCAAGAAGAATTATTGGAGGCTGACAGTTGTAAGTGTGAGGATTGGTTGCAAGTCACTATTAATTCAGTCCCATTATAACTTCGAACTTGCTATGATTGTAATTCAAGGGCTACCTATAGAGGGATTTTCTTTTTTTCTTTTTTTTAATAGGTTTTTATTTCCACCATTACAACTCAAATCATAATCCTACAGTATTTTCAACAGCATTTTGACATCTACAGGTACCATTGTCTTATAAATTTTAATACGTACATTAAATGTACATTTATCAATAACTAATATCCTTATCAATAGTTAGTTCTATTTTATATTCTTACATACTCTACATATTTACAAATCGTTTCCTTAAGGTCTCTTACGTCTTCACATCTTGTTTCTTATTTCTATTCGCTAACCATTCATACCATTTGTGCCAAATTGAAAAATACTCTTTCTCTTTCATTTTTAATGTGAGCATGTTCATTTCAGACCTTTCCATTATTTTTTGTTGGACGAATTCCAACGAAAGGGATTTTCTTTTTGTATCTTTCCCTTTCCTATATGTTTGTGCATTCATCCCTTCTATCCTCCACCAGTAAGAATGGCAGAGGAAGTCCTTGGCTTACAACAGTTCATTTTAGTGATGTTTGATGTTAGAACGTCATTGGAAAAAAGTGACTTGTGGTTATTTTTTCACACTTATGACCATCGGAGCATCCTCACAGTCACGTGACCAAGATTTGGATGCTTGGCAGTTGGTTCGTATTTATGACGGTTGTGATTGTCCATGGATCATGTGAACATCTTTTGGTGACCTTTTGGCAAGCAAAGTCAATGAAGAAGTCAGATTCACTTAAGAAGACTGTGAATAACTGCACTGATTTGCTTAACAACTGTGGTAAGCAAAGTCATAAAACAGGGCAAAACTCACTTAAGAAATGTCTCACTTAGCAACATACATTTCGCACTCAATTAGGGTCATAAGTCATTTATGGTCAGAAATAATGAATGACTGAATGAAATGAATGAATGAGCGACTTAGCTTGTGCGGACAAAATGTGGCTTGGTCTTTCCTGACATTTGAAAGCTAGCTCTTGGAAACCTCACAAGGTGGTTGTTTGTGGGGAACTTTTGAGTTACCCAAAATAAAGCTAGTGGTTGGATAATGACAACAACAGTAGTAGGTGTGGCTGTAAGACATTGAAGATTCTCCCAATTTGGTCCAATTGCTTACAGTTTGTATTTGGACACATGGTGCGTTTTGTGTTGTGGGGTGGAGAGAAGAGAAGGAGGGGAGAGAAAGAAAGAGAGAAAGAGAGAGAAAGGAAAGAAGGAAGGAAAGGAAGAAAGATAGAAAGGAAAGAAGGAAAGGAAGAAAGAGAAGGAAGGG